ACTGCGTGTTCAGGTGTTCTCTTCCTGAACCGGAATGTTTGTGACACACATCGCTTGCCCTTCACACACAATCGCAGTGCCTTGTTGCAGAGTGGTGGACGTGCACACGACCAGCGTAAGTGTGCGGTCTACTGCCGTGGCTCTTTTCTAGGGATATTTGTGAACTTGCGGTACGTATATGAAGCACATCTGTCTGATTTCCATTTAACAGGGTTCCAATGTTCCACCCGCGTTCAGGAATCCGTAAACATGCTGCCATCTGCCTCCTCACCGGTAGTTGATGCCGCCGTATGGTGTTGTTACATGAACTTCCGGTATGTGCGTGAAGCTTCCTATTTCACCTCCCACTTCACAGCGTATCCATACTGCATGTACCATACCTTACCGGTCATGTTCCTCATGTGTCCTCCGTTACTATGTCCATAATGTCTGCCATGTTCCCACGGAGATCGCTGTTTCACTCAACACTGACAGGTACGTTTCCGTCGTTTTCTCCACAACCTTTCACTGGATAGTCTGCATTGCGGCCGACTGCCCGGTCAACGCCTGCCCTCAGGCATCCTTTTGCTTTCATTTCAGTGGGACATTGATTCAGTGTCCATTATACATTGGCACCAGGGTGGCATGGAACGTTCCCGCCCCTTTGAAAGGTGAGCCCCGCCAGCCATGTGTCCTCCGGCAGTAGTCTTTTCCGCCACAATCACAGGTAACTTAGTTCTGCTTGCAGTCATAACTCCCTGCTATAGAATATGAAGCCTCGCACAGCCTCCTCACTGCTTCACAGCTGCCACTGTTATCACCCTGTAACCGGTTGACAGAGGTCCGTGCTGCTAACGGATGCCCCAACTAAGTCAGCAGCCACAAAACTTCGCATATGTAGGGATATCTTTTTCGTGCACTGTTCTTTTTATAAGTTTCGCAGGCTTCCCATTACTTCTCACCTGCTTCACGTGTGGACTGGCTCCTCCGTTGACATGCCCCTGACCGCAGGCAAGTGTCCCCCGGCAGCGCTGTTTTCGTGACACACTAACGGGTAACTTCTTGCGCATTCCCCTTCACATAACCATCCATAGACTGCACCGCACCACAATGCCTTCTCTCTGCTTGTCCGGCACCACGTTTACCTCCCCGTTTGCCTGCGACAGAGGCCTGATTTCGGCATCCATGCACCGTTTTGCTCAGCAAACGTGAACCTGCTACATGCATTTACCTGTTGTTCCTTCTCCGCTAATTATTTCATAGGTGTCGCAGCTTCCATATCAGTTCTCAGTTACCCGCAGCCATTGAAAGCTGTAAGACGTGCCCCCACGGTAACCCATGCGCCTTTCTCCTCCACCTACATGAACTTACGGTACGTACATGCACGTACTCAATTTATCTCCCATTTCACAGCGTACCCCTGTCCCGTCTTGCTTTAGAAAACGATCATGTGCCGCATTCGTCCTCCGTTGGTATGTAAGCAACCTCAGCCTCCTGTACTCCGCAATTCCTATATTCCGCCGCACACATAGGTACGTTTCCGTAGCTTCCGTTAGAACCTTTCCCTGCATAGACTGCATTGCAACGGATTGCCTGTTCGCCGCCCT